TTTTGGACTGGTCAGCGTTGCATGCGACAGAGGACGATGTAGAAATGATAGCGTCTTTCTGAGCATTACTCTTGCTCTTTGACGCTTTGCTGCTCGGCATACGATCTGATACAGAACAGCTTGTAGCTGACGTAGACTTTTGTGCTCTTGGTGTCGATGAAGCTCTGGATGTTTTTGGCTTTGCTTCACACTTGCATCGGTCGGGCCCCCAAGCGGCACAACCTGTGCATCGTTTACGCGCCATTACGCAGGATACACGGGAATCTAGCCTGAAGGCTGCTTGGACAGCAAATATGCTAGCGTGTTAAGTTGGTGCATAGGCCTTTCTTCCATGCTTTGGGGGCCTGACTCGTGTTCGGAGTATTTTGACGACAAATACAAGGCTGATGGCCCAGAATCAACATGGAATCGAGATTTAATCATTTGTTTATAGCCGAATGTGTAAACCGGCGCGATCGCACTGGCTGAGGAGCTGGAAGCTTTAGATTCAGGCAGGCTTTGGGTTTAGGGTTCAATAGTTCAATAAAGCTAGAAGGAAGTAGGGTTAGGGGATTAGGTCCGTGCACTGTAGAGATGTGTAGATGCTAAAAGAGTAGACGTAGGATGTAGATGTCGTTTTGCCATGGATTTTGTTGCTTGGCTCTGCGGGGGGCCGTCTGAGACGAAGACAAGAAGCGACGGCAGAGTGCAGCATGAATCCTTGAAAGTGAACAAGCGGATTTTGGGCAGATGGCTTACGTCTGATGAAGACTTTGCGTCAGCTGACATGCTTGCGCAGCATGTGCTTGGAGCCGTCGCCTGCAAAGCTGCATTCGTGTATGATGCGTCTTGCGTGCTAACACAAGTTCAGAATGCCCAGCGGTTGCATTGGAGGGACAGAGGGGTGCCGGAAGGCGACTTGTGGTACTTCAAGATACTGGATTCTGTTTTTTTTGCAGAGCCGTTGGCAGCAGCACACTTCATCAATCATTCCAAGAGCAAAGTCTACGATATTATCCCTGAAGATTCTGCAGCGGAGTTGGCCTTGTCTGTAAACCCGAGGCCGGATTGGTTTGATGAAGGGCCTCGACTGTGCTTCAAGGTTCCGCCTCGAATTGCATACTTGCTGTTGAAGCAGGGGTGGCGGGATATGTGTTTGCCATCTCCTTTCACTCGTGGTCCATGGCACTTGGCAGCATGGAAACTCGATATGATGGAGCATGCGTTTGCACGGGCTTTTCATGGGTTGCAAGCAGCTGGGGCTAGAGTGCTTCCTCCGGATGGTCATAGAAATTTCAGCTTGACTGATTGTCGGAACCTTGCAGACGACTTGCGGGCCTATTTGGGCCAGGTGTCCGAGGACAATGTTCCAGAGGTGTTGTCTTGGATTAAACAGCTTCAAAACACCAGCGACAACCTTGAAGTTCCGCACGTTGCCGCCTCTCAGAAATTTCATCGTCTAATCGATTTCATTCTGCTCTGCGAGCTCCTGAAGGATGTCGGTAGTGCTAGGGAGGTCATCAACCGAGCCTTGGAGCTGACTCTCCCGGCGAGCTTACTAGAGATTGCCAAGCTTCATCTAGAGCAGCAGCGCTTTTTCGACAAGGGTGAGATCAGTCGTTTTCGCATTGTCCTTGACGTAGCCTTTATGCTTTTGCATCGTGTAACCTCATGGGTGAAGTTCATGAAGGGAGAAAAATCCTCGCGATATCTTATGTGGGATTCTTCGCCACAGTTCTCCAGAGATTATGAGATGATCCGGATCGTTTCAATTCCCGAGACACGACTGTGGGATGTTTTTTCTGCTGTAACCAGGATGAGTTCCATGTGGCTTGATACGGAGGCTGGAGATATGGCTGCGGTTAAGTTGGATCCTGCCAAAACTTTGGACGAAGCTGCGCAGGCAGAAGAAGCGTCCCTCATGCGGAAATGCAACGATATTCTGCGTCCCCACATTTGCCCGGCAGTGATTTTGGGGTTTGGAGCGACTTCGCTGTCTCATAAATTTCACACACTGTGTCATGCGATGCGGTTGGAGCAGTTCACGGGTGCAAGTCTCGAGTTTTGCAGCCGGCAGTTCGTGTCTGTGACGTCTGATTTCGGCGTTGAGCACATGTTGGGTAGAGTTGCCAGAGTCAACGTGAGCGAAGTATGCCAGTATTTCGAAGATGCAGACGACCAGAGTCTTCAATCGTTGCTTTCATCGGTGNNGAACCGGATGTCAGGCATGCAGTTCCATTGGGGGAGTCAGTGGAAAGCGATGAATTGGAGGGTCCTGTCATTCAGCCCGTCTTGCTAGCAGATGCAGGTGTTGTGCCGGGCGACTTGCTTGAACCCCCGCCGGCAGACCCTCTGTCTGATCTTGAAGCAGATGTGTTAGGCCATGATCCAGCAGCTGTGTTCGAGGAAGTCCCACCAAGTCCGTGCGTGGATTTCACAGAGATGCTAAGCTTTCCAGGCCTTCATCATGTTCTGGATAATGCAATCAACGGGATGCCAGGTGCGATGCCGAATTACAAAGAGTTTATTCACCTTGCTTCGAGGCTGTGCAAATTCTTGCATGGCAAAGAGACAAGGGATATATTGCTCGAACGTTGTTTTGGTGATCCTGTGGGCATGCAGTTTCGGGAGGACTTCAAGGACTTCAAGGGTCACATTTTTCCTGGGCGATGGGGCACGGTTGCTTTCAGTGTTCCTTTGCTGCGTGCTCTGGAAAGGCCATTGCGGTGGGGCTGGAATAAAGCTGTGTACCTGCGAGATGCGAATGCTCGCGATGCCAGTATAACTGCCATAGTCAATGATGCGGACCAAGCAATCTCTAATCCTGTCTTTTGGGCATGGCTTTCCGTGTTGGATGCTTTGGTGGTTGTCGTCAGGAAAATGACAGCGTGGCTTGAAGGCTGCGCTTGTCAGTGGCCGCTCTTGCAGCAAACGTCGGATGAAGTGCCCAAACACGTGTTATCTAGGTGGAAGAAGTGTCCGATGCGGGGACTGAGAGCCCCCGAAGCGTGCAGTGGAGAGTTTCTGTTCATTGCAGCTGCGGTTTGCGATAATACCATAGCGGATTTGTTGCAAAACCTGCCCAACGACATAACCCGTGAAGAGCGTGCCGAGCTCGTAGACGAGTTTGATGCCGGGCGATCACACTTGTGCTTTTACCTTTCGTTGAAGGTCACAGCACTTGAAGAGTTCCCTTGGAAAGTGTGTGCGTTAGCACACACCGATGAGGAAATTGCTAAGGATGCACTCAGGGAATGCTTGGCCTTTCAAGGGCATCTGGATTCGAGACTCACCCGACTCCAGGGTCCGTTGCGACCTGCTTGCGACCGATGGCTGGCGGGGGACAGCTTGTCGGGTCCTGGAATGCTTGATCTCGCGAACTTGATTGCTGAGCTGCGTTTCATCCCGGTGAATGAGAGGCCAGCTGAAGGCCTCCATCGTCAGACGAAGTTGTATGGTCGGAATCGACCCAACCATTCTGTGCCCTTCATGTCATTGAAGCAGCGAATGCCAGAGTTGAAACAATTGCTTCATGAGAAGCCTGTGGCTTTACATGATCTGGCTGCATTGTGCGATGTAGTTCACAATAACTGGCTTTGCGTGTCTACACTTGGGCTGAAGAGCCACCCAGCTTTGGCCAATGTCCGACAGAAGCGGAACTCTTTTCGCGACACAATCATGGCTCAGGTTGTTTATCATGCTGATGCAATGACCTTATACACACTCGCAGTTCCTGATGTCCCCATGATGCCCGATGACCCAGGTGACCCAGGGGGCCCAGGATTAGCAGGCAATCAGGACGGCGATGATGCCGAAGATGACGGTGGCGGTTGCGGGCCCATGAACGGGCCTGGTTCAGAAGATGATGATGACGAGGCAGCATCCGACCCAGAGTCTGCAGCGTCTCAGAGTGCAATGGATGTCCATGATGGTGTTGGCCGCATTGCTGCCTTCGATCCGAAGACAGCCTCGCTCAAAGCTCTAGTGAGCTCCCATGCCGGTGAATCAGAGGCTCTGCTGCACAAGTTGATGCTACAACGGTTGAGCGAGGCGCTACCTGAACACGGTGGGCAGTTCCTATCCATGCCATTCCTTGAAAAGGCCATGCGTAATCTGGCAGCCGTTCTGAAGCTGGATAACAAGCTGACCTTCGAGCCGGGGGATGATATCAATCTGGAGCCAAAACCCCGTCCGAAGAGGCTTCATGATTCCGAGCTTGTCCTCGATGCGACCTTGACCCGCCGACGTGACTTTACTGCCGATGTACGGTCCCTGCTTTTCTTCAAAGTGATTCGAAACAATCCGATGCAGCTGAAGCGTAGCAAGGTCCCCGGCGAAATTGGTTTTGCTTCCGGAGACATCGTGGTCGCTCCGCACAAGCTCTACGATGTTGAAGCTGGCAAGAAACAGGTGACTGTGCAAGCATTGGCGTTGCAAAAGCCTGCTTCTGAGGCCAGGAGCAGCATGTCAACTAGCAGCTTCGTGCTCAACTTTCGGTCTTTGGAATGTCAGCAACTCGCAGAGCTGCGGACGTGGGAGAAGCGGACCGGACTGAAGTACGTCATCAAGCCTCTGGCTTCGCCAGACTTAAGCGGGTGGTCGAAGCAAAAGCATGAGGCGTTGGGCATCCTGCTGGAAGAGCTTATGGAGAATGCAAACGGGGTTCGTGGCACGTTCTGGCGTCTTGCATCTGAGCGAAAAGAGATCTTAAAGGTCTTTGCGGATCTCGATTGGGTAGTTCAGGCAGCAGTGCCTTGTCGTGACGATTTTACATTTTGTAGATAGGGAAACCAAGCCTGTCAAAACGGAACAGCAGCCAGAGCCGCGATCGTAGCCACAATCAGAACATCAGCAAGCCCAAAGAACCCCCAACAATTGCTCCTGCTGGCAAATACCCTTCCCCGGCCCAGGATGGCTTGTGGACCTTGACTTCGCTGGGCAAGGAGAGTGTCGACGTTTGCTGTGTCCTGCATGAGCCACGTCCAATCCTGGACTTGCGGGAAGGTAAGATGTAGCCAAGCCAAAATTTTTAACACCCAACCCGGATACTGATAGGCTAACGGTAGAGCTGGAATTGAATGCCTCGCAGCCCCTGGCCGGAGGTGTGGAGCATGCTGAGCTTTCGTCGTGGGAGCTCATTCTTGCTTTGGACAGAGCAGGGTTTGAGCACTGTGTGAAGGCCAAGAGCTCACAGGATCGCGATTACGACCCGGCCGATGCAAGCACCAAGGTATGGTACAGCAAGCCAGATGCCAACATGGTTGTGCGTCAGTACTTGCTTTGTTTGTTGAAAGGAGATTTGCGAGTACCCCACTGGAAGCCCGCTGCCCTATACACTGCCTTGTTGAATGGAGAGGAATATCAGCCCAAGACGAAGTCCTTGAAGATGCAAGATTTCCATGAAGATGATATGGATGCAGGCTCTGCTGTCCGCCCAGTGAAACTGGCTCGTCGTGCCGCCGCTTCGAAAAAGAAACCTTCGCAGCGTGGAGCATCTCCTGATGTTTCGCAACAGCATCGGGAAGAGGCCCTGGCCCTGGAGCCCCAAAGTCGCAGTCCTGAACCGCCTGAACCAGCAGCTGTAGTCGACAGCAGCGTGCACATGGAGCAACCTGCAGAGGCTTGTGAGGAGTCCTCTGATTCTACTTCAACTTCCAGTTCGAGTTCGAGATCCACGTCTGGGTCATCCGATGGCTCAAGTTCCTCTTCTTCCTCGTCTGCCGAGGAGGAGGAGGGGGCGGCTGCCCCCCGTGCCAGCAATCCAAATGTTGGCTTCAGTTTCGGTCTGAACCATGTGACACAGGTTTTCAAGGATGGAATTGCAATTGGCTACGAGATGACCTGTCATCACCCCATGCACAAGCATGGGAGCCAGAAATGTCGCAAGAAGTTGAATGCTGTGACTCGAGATCGGTCTGAGTCGGAGACCTTGCGTATGCTGAAAGCTTGGGGTGCTTGGGGAGCGGAAGTGCCATCCCGAGCAGAGCACCAGAAAGTCTGGGAGAAGGTTGTTGAAGCCTGGAAAGATGGTACATTACCGGAAGAGATTCCTGAGTTTGCGAAATTCAAAACGAATTTCAAGAAAAGGGCTTCGAGGCCAAAGGCCAAAGCAGAAGCCAAGCCGAAGTCGGAGTCGGGCCCGGGGCGGCCAACCAAGCGTGTTCGCAGCTCCTGAAAAACATCAATCAAGTGTAGGCTCGGAACCGTTCACCGATAGTCCTCCTTCAGGGCTGCAGGGTGTTGCAGGGTTTCTTCAGTTTATGGGGTGGTGGGGCGAGGTCAAGAGTAGCAGAAGCTTGTGTGCTTGTGTCGTGTAGAACAATTGTTGCTTCCGAGTACTTGGCGATCACCAGCATGCAGGCCCAAATCGGAACCACCCTGTGTCGTGTAGAACAATTGTCGCTTCCGAGCACTTGACGAACGAGGGGGGTCCCAAATCGGAGCCATGCAAACCAGGTCCCAAATCGGAGCCATGCAATCCCCTCTTGAA